ACATTTTTTGCAAGTATACGTAACGTAATTACATCATTTTCTTCGACAGTGTCGTGCATGGAAGCACAAGAATCCAGTCGGTAAAGTCACGTATGCCTTTTTGGAGTTTTGGGGATTTTTATTTTCTGGTTACGTGACAGGCCAAATGTGGTTTAGTAGCTTTGATTGAGAACAAGCATAACGATACTGCTTATCTGTGACACTGATATCTCTCTTGGATGTGATAATTCGAAGCCGTCCTTATAAACAGTGCAGAATTGTTTTGCTCAGTATACACCAAATTTTATTGAATATCGTTGGCAGTTGATATGAGCAACGCGCACAGTAAACTTTTGTTGCTTTCTAAAGCCCCGTCGACACTACCTACAAATTCCTCTGGCTTAGTGTGGACGAAAAACATTTTCGGAGTGAAACCTCGGTTTTCAAATTCCTTCGGCGTAGTGTGGACGGGGCTTTCAAAGCGCGTCAACAGGTACTTCCTCGTCCAATGGGAAGAGGTGTTCTACTTGCGTGGTATAACATAAGATTCGGAATTTTATTTAGTCTTTCATTACACTACTGTTGATATCAGATATTAAGAGGTGAGGAATTATCAAAAAAATCTGACTAACATCGTCGATGGATATTGCCGACTTCCATGAAGAATAAAAAAATGTATGATTATCAGTATAGACATAGACATATACATACTTTATTTAACGTGGACAAGTACACACTTAGCTGGTTGCTAAGCTGTTAGCTGTTCGCAGTATGATATCAGTATGATTTTGAATAGATAAGTAAAAGCTTTTTTAGTGGAAAATTTAACTAAACCAATCCTAATTTGCATGGCGGCCAAGGATTCTGTAATTCAAAAAATACTTGAAGGCAAACATCGAAAGTAATCGTATAGTCGCACCCCGAAAAAGCTAGCCATTGAGCACACATGAGTTTGTTTTCTGCGCTTACGTTTTGAAATATAATAATAAAACTGCTCTACATTTGACACTTTGATGCACAGCTGTAATATCGCTTCTCTACTTTAATTTTCAAATAATATTGTATATGCAAATGCGATAGATAGAATAGGATAACATGACCGAAAAAAAAAATAGAAACTCAAACCTATTTTTATTTCGGTTTTTCATGGCTTGAAAGACTAATTGTCTCGGTTGAAGGCTTGAATAAAATTCAGGGAAGTCTTTGCACGGCTTACAGGTCAGATGAAAGGCCGTTTGTCATGGACTTACTGTAACCGACTTACATTTATAATCGGGAATCATTTATCAGAAATGCAGCAAATGTGAGTTTAAAGTATTACACCACGGACAGTCTATATCATCTCTCAAACATCTGCAACCGTCTGTTTTATAATGTCGTATTTCAGTGCGTGCGGCAGATCACAAAGTGTTTGATGTATACTTTCCGAGCAACAACTAAAGAAAGAGGGCGCAATTTTGGCGGATGAAACTGGTTACTGAACTGAATAAAGCCAAATGGACTATTACAATTAACTGAAGATATTAAGCCAGAAATGGCATTGTGACGTGAAAGAGAGCTAATTCCGCTTTTATGTCATAAATGCGAGTCACGTGCGAAAAAAGAACTCTTTTAAATCGACAGAACTTAATTATCTCTAGTACAGTGCGTCAAAAGTTCAGTTTGAATAAAGCAATACGTAGGCGTCAGGGTTTTCGAAATAATTTCCACCTCAAACATGCTCATCGCTTTCACCCACACAGGTTTAATTCATTAGACTTCCTTTTGCTTTTAAAGCGCATCTTTGTAAAGCTTATTCTAAAAATCGAGAAATTTTTTTCTCGTGAAATTTTACTCGAAAGCGAATGGTTTACGAAAACGAAAGTTCCCTCTTAGTTTTATTTTTTTCCCAAATATTAGCCAAATTTGAAATACTATTTTTTTTATTTTTTGTGTTGATCACCAGCTGAAGAAAAGAAAGCTTCCAACGCTAATAAATCCTGAAAATACCTTAATTACAGGGCGAGGAAGGCACAGGATATCAATGGAAGGAAAAGCCTTGTATTTTGCGCAGTGAATATTTTGTGCAGTGGATGTTAATTGCATGTGGATGAATGAACAATGGGGCTTAGCTGTCGACAGGCATCCAATTGAATGAGTGAAGAGATGGCCGATTATTTACGTTAACACATTATAGATGTAAATTTCTGTCAAACACGAAACATTTTGCACAGAGCAACTCAGTTAACAATGTGGCAGTGAGGAAACACATGGACAAGAAATGACTAGCTTGAACCACTCGGCTATGGAGTCGCCCGAACAGTCCACCAAACAAGATACCTACCTTAGAGTTATCACATGCACACTTATCGCAATATTGATCGTTTTGACCCTGCTCGGAAACGTTCTTGTCATGGCAGCGTTCTGTCTTTGCAAGGAATTGAGGACAATTACCAACTACTTTCTCGTTTCGCTGAGTTTAGCGGATTTGCTCACGGCTTTGCTCGCCATGCCGATTTTCATGGCCTCAAAAATCACGTCAGATGGCAGCTTATTTCCTGGAGGAGCAGTCTTCTACGACGTTTGGCGGTCAATAGACATTATTTGCGGTACAGCGTCTATTTGGAACCTGTGCCTAGTCAGTTTAGACAGACTTCTTGCGGTTGCCGCGCCGCTTAGGCACTTGGTTGTCCTCACACCAGCTTGTGCTAAGGCAGTTATCGTGCTGGTCTGGGCAAGTTCTCTGGGCCTCTCAGGAATTCTTCACATGAACTGGAGTTACAAGGGTATCCTTATCACATTTATCAGTTTCTTTCTACCACTGTTTATAATCATTTCCTCATACGTCAAGATTTATCAAGTTACCACAAGATCGTGCATTTTACGCCGAATCGGAGGTACGCAACTCAAAAGAGACATTCGTTCCGCAAAACAAATGGTGGTTGTTATTAGTGTGTTTATTTTATGCTGGGTAGGTTTTTTTGTGTTGACTTTGATACTTTCCATTAAAAGATCTATGTCTTCAACGATAAATCCCGCGGTATTAGACTTTCTGAAGTCTTTGACGTATCTAAATTCGTGTATAAATCCACTTTTATTCACTATGGTTAGCAGAACGTTTAAGAAAGCCATAACCGATATTCTTCACTGCCATAAACCGAATTTGACGCGGGCCAGACGGCCGAAATATCTTGGAACTAGACGAAATAATAACATGGGATCTTTTCTCGTTTCGTCGCTGTTAAGAAGATCATCTAGCATTCAAGAAATACCAGGTCATAAACGAGAACATCACTGCTCGCAAATAGTTACTTACACAGAGAGAGAAACTTGTTTGTAAATTAAATATTTGTGATGACGGAAACCAAAAAAAAATGTCTGTATGAGCTAATAAAGTGGTGCATTTCGGTGATGTTTTTGTTTGAAAGGACACCGCTGGGGTATTGTACAAATCATCCTGGACTAGGTTATTTGTGAAGTTTTGCTTTACGAGGGGACTCAGAGCTTTTAAGAACTATAAACAATTATGCATGACACCTATAGTGGTTGTAGAATCACAAGATGTATTTTTTACTGTGTATATATTTATTGCTTTTGACACGAAATGTTAAACGCGGGAGCGAAACTCGATTCAGCACGGAAGTCATTTTTAAGGTTAGAAAAGAGGAAAATTTTAACCCTTGAGAAAAGACAATCAAAAATGCGGCCGGCAACAGTCATCACTTTACCGTTTACAGGATATTCCACTTTTTAGACGGAAGAATGCCATTAAAATAGTTGGAACATGGCAAAGTGTTTGAAGATTAGAACCGAATAAAAAGTGATTGTTTACTTGAAGAGTAACTAGCTTATGACATCATTACAATGGCAGGCCGCAATATCGTTAATCGAGCAAATATGTCAATCTAATGATCTGCATCTTAGAAACCAAAGTGCTATAGTTGGCTGCTTTATTCCTTTGTCCTTGGCTAAGATCTTTTGTTTGGTCTCTTCTCTTAATATCGCCAATTTAATTTTGTTTTTCCGAGTAATTTAAATACCAAATATGGCGCACCTGCTAGGAGTTGCTTTTAAGCCAACACTTCCTCTTTTTTCGCGATGGCATCAGCCGGTCGATCGAGCGGCGAGGATTTGAAGCAATCTAGGAGATTTTCACCTAGATTAAGTCACACTTCTTACCGACTTTTAACAATTACACGCAAATGAAATTTGCTCGAGAAACAAGTAGATTGCACTGTAATTACTTTGATCGCATAAAAACTGTAGACAGAATTTTCACATTGGGGTCTTTTATTAGGCGATTATCAGTTTTAAAGCTAATTGGTCCAACAGAGTCCTGCCATTGCGTACAGCTTTTAGTAAAAATTTCAATTTTCGCATTTTTGCTCCCAAACGCAATCCCAGGCACTTATATATCTTTTTTTTTTTTGTGAGTGATTTTAAAGTTTTCACGAGCATTTTCTTCATGATTTATGTTTGGCTTAAAATTTTTTATATCACTGGAGCTGCAAATGTCACATGCTTTGACAAGATCCGGTGTCAATCCAAGAAGTAAAAATAATTTTTTCTGCTCACGATAAATCAAGTCGCTGACTGACTTATTTTTCAATTTTATTGCTTTTTCGCATATGTCAGGTTAGTGACAGCGTCAGACCATGAATAAACTATCAAACTCTTTCAAAGCGGAGTTTTATCGCGGACTTCCATTATTACCTACCTATTAACCGAGAGTGGGGTCTTTACGGAAAAAAAACTCAAGCCTCGGCCTTGCCGTATTAACCTCGCTATCGCTCGGCCAATACGGCAAGGCCGAGGTTTGAGATTTTCCCGTAAAAACTGAACGTTCGAGGTTAATAAGTTGCTTATTATTTGGCTATTTGATTTGGTTTAATTTTGCAAACCCGTATTCGGCCCGTGGGCATTACGGGAGATTATTATATGGCTGTGTCTCACGAGGACTGGGAACTACCGAATTCACGAATTTGATTGGCTGAGATCGATATTGACCGCGGTCTAGATTTTCCCATCTAGACCGGCATCTCGACCGATTACATTTTGCCGTGAAAAAGTTGCAAACTAAATACAAAAATATTGACTATTCTCTTCCAAAATATTAGTTCCAGAAAATATCCATATTATGGATGTGCGAAGTCTGATGAGGAAAAAAAGTAAAGAGGACGAGTTTGGCAGAATTAAGCTCAGCTCATCGCCGTTCGCAAGCAAAATGTCAGCTAGTACAAACCAGTTACATTAAACGAATTAATTTTTTCTTGTTTGCCATATAATAAACATTTTATTAACCGAGCTTAGTCGATCTCTATGTGAGAATCTTGACCTCGGTCGTGTGTACAGACCTCACTGCGTTCGATCTGTACTCCCGACCTCGGTCAAGATTCTCCCATACAGACCTCCTGCTCGGTTAATAAGAGCTAAATAATGCCCTACAATGAACGAATCAGAGCGCGCGTCATATCGCCTACCAACACAAACCATATAATAAAGTGATTCATAGTGACTCATCCTTTTAAAAATTCGTGGACTTTTCTTTTACTTGTCAACTAGTTACATTGTATTAAACCTAAAGACTATTTCAGTTGGAGCGCGCAACATTAAAAAAAAAAAAAAAAGAAATAGGAAAAAACAAAAGAAACGTTGCATTTATTAACTTTAGTTGTGTTAAGCCTAAAGGTAGTCTGGGAATCCTGGCTCAATGCATTTCGAGCTAACATATCTACAAGTACAGGTTTGACCTCTACAAGTATTTTTTTTTTACAGTTATTGGTCAAATTTATACTAGAGACGAAATTTCTATTAGGAGACGATTTATCCATTTAGGACGTGTTACCCGTCTGAGACGGATAAATCGTCTATGTATGAATCTGGTCTTGTGACGAATTATGTGGCCAGATTCGTCTTGGGCAGATTCGTATGTCAGCCCGTCTTCAAGACGTATCTCATTAACATTCCTGGCACGCTTCTTCGTTCTCCTCAAGTACGCATAATTAACATGTGGAACAGAATAATAACTGCCAACTTTTTTCTTTTGGAAACGCCTCTTTATCGGGAGCAGGGAGATGGCGCAGTGGTAAGAGCGCTCATCTTCCATTAATGTAGCTCGGCGTCATATGTGGGTTGAGTTTGTTGTTGGTTCTCGCCTTGCTCCGAGGATTTTTCTCCGGGTTCTCCGGTGTTCCTCCCTCTAAAAAACCCAACACTTCTAAATTCCAGTTCGATCTTGAAACAGTGAACGAAGAGCCTCTCCGTGGGAAAATGTCACTGCAAATCCCTATTTGTTTATCTATTTTTGAAAAACACAAAAACATTTTGAGCAATTTACCTGCAAGAGTTTTATTTCCAACATATTTTAGTAGTTCTTATAGTGATTGCAAAAATTTTACTGGATATACTGTTTGTGACATTCGAAATGATCAAGGTTAAGGTGTTTTATGGTGAGGCAAAAACTCAGACCTTTCATTCGAAGTATGTGACGAGGGTTTTTCTCACGTGGACAGCCGAACAGCCTTTACACACATTTTACATCCTCCACGAGGACATTATCTGCGGGAGATAAAGATACTGCAGATAAGAACTCTATTAATGTGTGGAAGTAGCTAGCATACAATCTACACTAATTGGGGACACTCAACAACAATTACTTATCTAATAATTTTCTCTCTTTGGGCGCAGTTTTGTAAACACTAATCCGTCACGAAAACGGAGCTTTTCAAAAAAGCTCTTTAAACAGGAGGAATTTGAAAATGCCGGCTTTGCGTTTTCTTGTGGACAAAAAACATTTTAAAAATGGAACTTTGTGAAAACAGTGGCGTCATGATAATTATGTGATCTCCCTGACCAAGTACANGAAAATGCCGGCTTTGCGTTTTCTTGTGGACAAAAAACATTTTAAAAATGGAACTTTGTGAAAACAGTGGCGTCATGATAATTATGTGATCTCCCTGACCAAGTACAAATCCAAAATGACCGGTGATTTTTGCTCTTTTAAATTTTTCCGTCGTTGTGTGAACGGAAAACATTTGATGCGTCTTCAGAGTGAAACCTCCGCTTTCAAATCCTCCAGGCTTAGTGTGGACGGGGCCTTGAGAGAGCTTACCTGGGGAATGAGGTCCATATATAGGATAAGCTCAGTCTGTTTCTCTTCAACCCTTCTTTGATCATTGTATAGCAAACTGAGGCAGTTAACTGTATTGAATTAATAAATATTGACCCCCCTCCCCCCTTTTGGTGTTTAGCAGAAATGGATGAATTTGGAATTAAACATCCAATTGTAAAAAGCAGTAAAAAATCTCCAATACAAATAGCATTTATGAAGACATGAATGATCTTTCCATTCACTTTTAAATGGTCTTTATTTTAACAGAATGTTAGTTAGACAGAGAATTCCAGTGTTGCGAGACAGAAACACCTTGTAGAATTTATTCTGAAAATTAAGATCAACAATTGTTTATATTATGTCTAACGTCGTTCAAAATGAGATCAAATTGTTGATCAATTTCAATCAATTATTCTCCGGTATAGGGCGGTTTTCTCTTGAATATCGAAAAGGTTATTGGTTTCTCATCACTACCCAAACCATCCAATCACCAATCGTGAGGTTTTCCCGCGCTTCGCGTTAGTTACTTGTATTTACCTAGTTTGAGTTTTGATTGGTCCACCGGATTTTCTGTGTCCTTCGTGATTGGCTAGAGTATAATTACTTTGGGTTTGGTTTTACCCGACACTCAGTTGAAAATCGCTCTATAATAACCGCTGATATGATGACTACAAGGCACAAGATTTATTTGTTGGACCACAGGGGCGATATCCTACTCGAACTCTCAGCCAAGACAAAGTCAGAAAAGGGAATTTCTTTGTCGGGCGTATTGATCATTGGCTTCCAAGCAAGCGTAATTTTCACGTTTTTATATTACTCTGTTCGGTCTCAGAAAAGCGTTTGGGTATCGCTTTCCTAAAAGTAGCCTTTCTTCATATACTAAAAATCACTGAGCGAGAAATATATATCGTGTTATAGATTAACAGCTTACGCTAGACACAGAATTAAAAATATTTTTGTGATATGTCGAGAGACTAGTCCAGTCTGGAGAAATTAAAAGCTAATATTTGACAGACAATTAACGATATTTCCGTGCTATGTCGAGAAACGGGTTTAGTGTGAAGGAAAGTTCTGTAGCTCAGTTTGTAAGGAAATATTGATCGAAGATTCCATTACATTTGAAGTAACACAATCGCAACGCGGCGCTGAATAAATGGATTTTCTTTTTGTAAGCCACAAATTGATTTTACAACCTTTAAGCGTCTCAGAGACGACAAGGACGGCTCCCAGTGGTGTGAGAATTAACACATAAATGCTCAATTTGTCTTTGTAATCAAGCTTAATTTAAAATAAATACAATAACATTTTATTGAGACTAAAATTTTGTTACGATTGCGAAAATAGTACACTATGATAATTTCATATCTTTATAAAAATCTACTTCGTCATTGAACTGATATACTGCAAACGAGAAAAGTCGGAAACAAGACTCGACGAAAGTTTCGCAAAGAGGGTACAGTTTTGATTTAATTTTCGGCAAAATGAAGAACCGTGAGGCCTACCCAAAGATGGAAATTTTTTTGTCGCTTGTCGCTTTGTTATTCATCGTGCAATCTGTTGGCGGAAACATTGCGTCCGAAGAAGATCCCTACATCGAAGGAGGTCAGTAAATCTATCGTTGCCAAATACGTCGTATCAAAAAACTCTTACAGGAATCATTTTGCAAAGCAAATATTTCCACGTAAAGATGCCATATGTAAGATATATTTAATGAAGTTATCGTACGTCAAGAGAGAACTATCACCATATATGTAACTGTAACGTTTATATTTACCAAATAGAAGACGGTGTTCCATGTTCTCTAAGAAAGAAATGCTGGCGTAAGGCCTAGACAAACTGCTTACGGACGCTCGAGCGAAACACGACTACGTTCAGTAGTTTTTCCAGACCTCAGAAGAGCATTGTTTGCTTAGAAAACATAGGAACACAGCACGAGAAAGCGAAAAAGTATATGTTGTTATATGTTGTGTTTATGCACACGCTCGTGAGCGCGCGTTAATGACTTTCTCTAGAATACGCGGAATGTGGTCATTCCATGTTGTTGTTTTGTAAAGAGTGCCAAAAAGAGGAACAAAGAATTATAACGCACACATACTGACAGCCATTGTGCTTATTTTGTAAACTCCGAAAAACCCAATGAACAGTAAAAAATTAACAGCCAAACGAGCACAACATACAACCTTTATTTATACACGATAGAAGACGTCAAAGCTAACAAGCTTTGCACAAAGCAAATGAAAGTCCAGCCGAACAAAAAGACGGCTGGGAGTGCAGAAAACATCTGTGCTATGAAACGTTTTTTGGAAACCAAAACATATAAAATGACTTTTCACCACATTTCCCGCCATTTCGTCTCAAGTAATTGGGATAAAGTCGCTTGGGCTGTCCACGCATCGCGTGAGTAACATCCTCGGAAGAACTGGGTACTATATCTAAAAAATAAACTTAAGAGGGATTACCTCGGGTAGAAGACCTATATGGGGATTCACTCTCTTATCTTGATAACCTCCTGCTTATACATACTCACGGGTCCGTACGGTGTCCTATGGTGCAATGCGATGTTCGAGGGATTTCTTCCATATTCCAATTTTTCAGCCAATAAACGCAAACTGCATGACCCCAGTAATTCGAAATAATTATCTCAATCGGCTTTATTATTTCGAAAGAGTAGTACCGTATTTGCCCTAACAATTGCTTAGGGGACTCAGTACTCATTAAAAGCTAAGCCGTCTTGATTTCTTAATAGCATTCCAAATTTCAAGCGTATAATATATTATTTTCCTTTGTTGCTTTAGACGCAGCTTCTCTTGAAGATGATTGTAAGTAAATAATGTTAAGAGATTATAAATTATTACATGTTATATATTATATATATTGAAAATGCTTCGTTGGTTTCGTAGAAGTTTGACACTGTTCTCAAGTTCCTTCTTGAAAATTTTATTACATCTGATTTTGTCTACCATGTTATATGTACCATCAATTTTTATTTCCTGCGGAAAAAAGACCGGAAACTAGCGCCTCCTGGCCATGCGCAGCTCGCTTTTTGATAATAATAATAATAATAATAATAATAATAATAATAATAATAATATTTGACAGTTCCAGGTGAGGTGCAGTGTCCAGAGATGCCGGCCTGCCGCTACTTTCAGACGCTGTGTTGGAGCACTACGCACAGTTTATACGACTTTGTCATAAGGCAGTGTCCAAAATCTTGTAAACTGTGTTGAAAATTTGGTGAGTAATGTTATTTATTTGGAAGGCGCTGTGGCGGTCTAATGGCTAGAGCTCTGGATACCAGGGTTTAACTCTGGAAAGGGCCGTTATGCTGTCTTCTTGGGGAGGTCGCTTTACTCTCACAGTGCCTTTTTAACCAGGTTATAAGGGTGTCGGCAAATAGGCCACTTTACAGTTGTGTGCTTAATTACCTGGCCTATGAATGCTGAATGCAAGCGAGGCTGGAGGTGCTCTGTTTTTGTCAGCTAAATGCAAACTAGTTAGCATATATAAGAACAACTTGATTCACAAAACAAAAGTAGTGAGGTCGCTGCCATTCAAAGGCCAAGTCACCGAACAGACAACCGAATAATTTAAATGGTCTGTCAAATGCTTAGGAATGAAGAAATTAAAATCGATAGCTTTAAGGAAGCCGCGACGTTTCTGATATACTGCACCACCAAATGCCATTCAAATATATAGGAGGTGATTAGTAGTTCAGCTTAGGTTTCACTGTAGTGAGTGACTTGATTGTTTTGGTTTGTTCTCTTTTTCAGTGACTACTCCATCCCAGTTTCCTGGAACCGCTCTAGCAACAGTTACTGTAGGAACACAATCTGAAAGTCACATTTGAACGAGACTGAAATGCAAACGCGAAGGATAAGAGTTTAAAAATTTGCTTCAGATTATATATTTGACGGCATTAGAGGTTTCTTTTTTTAGTTTTATGATATTATACTCGTTGGAGTGGAAGAAAAGCTTGCGTCATTTTAGATTTGATTCCGTTTTAAGATCCTCAGATACAACTGGGCAACAAGTTTTTCAATTAAATCATTTTTGAACGCTAGCAACGTGTCAATCTTTTCGCGGAGTCGGAAAACACCTTAGAGAGGATGTTCGCTGAGAAAGGTCCACGCCAACACAGACGCTTCGTTTTGGAATTGCTAGGGAACTGTTACTCATGCGTTGCTGAAGAAATCATCCTCTCTTTGTAAAGATTTTGTTTTAATCGTGTACACTGTGCTAATCTTCTCTTTACAAGTGCAAATGATGAAAATTTTATTTCCACTCAAGTAACTAGAAACTAAGGCCTTGTATACGTGTAAGGACATCGATCCTTCCGCAAATAAAGCGTGGTTCTCCTGCAGGGAAAACAAGAAAACGAAAATTAAAAATTATAAGATTTGCCGGATTCTAAAATTCAAACGTGCAATCTGGAAAAGTAAAGAAATGTTAGTCACGAGAACAAAATACTGGATATTAAGGGTGCTTTCCCTTATAAAGATTGCCGAGTCAAGATAGAATTCTTATTTTAAAGCAGGAAAAATAGAGTAAAGTAAGTTATAGGCGACTCTTTTCTGACGTCATTGTTTACATTTTTCCACAAAACATACGACTTTACGCAGAGAAGGCATCACGCTGGACACTAATTGACTACAAACATTACGAGCTTGTGAAAATTAGTAACTGGTGAAATGTTTGGCTTTTGGGTGTAATATTCGAGGAGAAATTGGCTTTCAAAAACTGCAAAATTTCTGCAAAAGCGCTAAAGAGCTCATACATTCTTGGTAGAATTTTTAGTTTTTAAATTAGCGTCGAACAAAACTGACTATTCGATACATCGGGCGCAAATTCCTTGGGACAGTTAATCGTGCTGTGCCCTTTCAATATTCAGAACTAATGTTTTTGTAGCTCCATCAGAAATTGTCTCGCTTATGCTAATGAGGCAAATATTGTAAACAAAGATTCTCCTATAGACTGCGTAAAATGTGAAACTTAAAAAGAAAATATGCGAAACGGAAGTCAAAGCACACACACAAAATTAGCAACATATAGCGATGATACAGCCAACGTTTAATGGCTAAAAAAGGAGGAAATATGTGTGGGAGGTATAAAACGAACACGAAGCGATGAGAGGAGTTCTTATGTTCCAGCAACAGGAGAAAAACATCACTGAAATGGAGTCACTTTCCTTTTCCTCACAACTCTTTCTTTAACAAAATGTCTCCGCGCCTGCAAGGTATAGGAAATTTAAATCTTGGTGGCCAAAACAGGAAATTTTAGATTTAGCGAGAAATCTAAGGGGCGTTTAGAGAAGGCGACTTATTCTTTTATTTCTCAGTATTTTCGCGTCTGTGTTTAATTATTGACCTACCTCATTAACAAACTCCGCACGTCTTCTGGCAGCGAATTCGGATGTAAGAGTACTTGCGACTGCGGCTGATCTTGCACATTTTGTATCTGCTACACCTTGGAGAGCTATCCCGACAGTCTGCAGGCGTGATTTGTAAGAATTAAAGAAGGAACATATTTAGGAGTCATAAATTACTTGGACAATAGATATTTCAAAACAATCCAAGGATTTGAAACTATTTTTAACTTATAAGACTGATTAAATAATTCATCAAGTTTAAACAAAGAAGATCATTATGATGTTGCTGATTGGCTCGCCCCAGTCGTCCCAGGCCGTTTGAGAGGTCCTATCAAAGAGAAAACTGGGGACGAGTCAGGTGACGGTGATATGGACCTGAGATATTGACTTACATGGATCTTTATTCCCTTTTACTCCTTCGTCCAAGTTTGCGAAGATGCATCAAAAACAAGAATTGGTAATTCATCACATCTCCAAACATTGATTCCCTCAGCTCGAGTTTAGTCCAAAATATTCTGCTGCGAGTCCTGTTTTTAAGGCTCTTTTTGGTATTTGGAAACGCTATGAAATATAGTCTTTCGTGTTTTAGATGTCATCTAACAGTTTAGGGAAATATATATATATATATATATATATATAATGTAGGAGGAAAAACACAAATAAACTACAAGTTCATCCCTACAAGCCTGTTTCGTGGCATCATTCCGCCACGCTAAACACAGAAACTCGACCGAACTCAGCAAGCACATCTGGACCCTCAAAGACAATAACATCGAACACTTTATTTCCTGGCG